TTAATAATATAATGCAATATTTATAACCAAATTAATTAAGTAAAGAAGGAAGTGTTGAGAAAATACTGATTCTGAAAAAGATTAAATCAAGAATTTCATTAGAAAAATCCTTTTTCTTGCATTTAAACATAATATTTAAATCTATTTGTATTGTAATTTATACTTAAATTGTCTTATATATTTATCGTCAATTCTGATAATGATAAACATTCCTAAATAATTTAGATAATTAATAAATACAAATCTGTTTCATCTCTTACTATGTAGGATCTCTCAATCAAACTTTCTATTCTATTTTTGATGAATTATTAATCTGGTCTAAAAATAGAGATCATAGATTAACAATTTTATAGTAATTCATGATGATTAATTGTTTTTTTATTTTCATCAATCTTACGAGATAAGAATCCACAACTAATTCCCTTTGCTTGTATGATTGTTAATTCTCCTCATTTTCCTCATTTTCCTCAGTGTCATTATTCTAAAAATTTCAATTATTGATTTTACAGCTCTTTTTGGCTACATCTTGTAATTGGGCAATAATTTAATTTTTTTGGCCCTTTTTGTGAAACTCATGTTTAATTTTAGAACTTCATTTTCATCTGAAAAATCTTCAATGTCCTATTTTTCTCTCGTTATTATCTTCATACAAACAAAAGGGATCAATGAATTTTCTAAAATTTACTTATCAATATTAGTCATATCTAAGATTTATTTGATAGAGAATGAATCTGCTTTATTGAATTAAAGGAAAGCAATCATTTACATTGTATTCACATTCAAGAAGTATTTTTCTGTTTACATTTTATATATCAATTCTCCCTGTCCCAAATTAAAGTACCATTCGAGTATTCTTCCTTTGTTTTGATCTTCAAAAATTTTTTCGTAATTCCTAAAAAACAATAAGTAAATCTATACTCCAAAATATTCTAAATTTTAAGTGGCCTAATGATATTATCTTAAATATTAGTAATAGGCCAACACCCATCAGTAAGCAAAACCACATTTAAGTCAAATTGGATATTTTTGCTGATTGATTAATTAATGTTAAATCTATTTGATAATTCAATATCTTGAATCATGGTAGATAATTTTGTTCTAAGAATAATTAAAAATATTACAGAACATTTGTACCAACTTCGCCCTTGAATTTTTAAATAAGTTACTTCTCTAATTAGAGATTTTAAATCTATTGATTGAGCAATCTTTTGGATAATAGTTTGTGATAATGGTTAAAAAAAATATCTCGTTGATAAAGTAATTTAAAGAGAGAAACAATTTAGGTCAACCTTTTATCACTTTCTATTTCCATTCCTCCTTTCTCTCTTCTTATGATGATATCAATATATATGGCTAACAATTTTGGAGATTTTTCATGTTTATTTACCAAATACATTAATGCTTCTTTGTATCATCTTTAAACATCAGGTTCTTTTTCCAATTAATTTAAAAAAATATCTTAAGCTTTTTCCATAAATAATAATATATTCGTGAAATAGAGTTCAGCTTCATCTAAAAATTAAATAAATTTAAATAATTACTTTTTTATTATTCTATTTATTCTTAATTTTCAAATGAATTATTTAAAAGCTATCCTTTTTATTCAAAATATTTGGATATATAAATTATGCATTCCTAATTTTGAATTAGGAATTTGAATAATAATTTTAATTCATCAGTCTAGTCATATTTTAACATATAACCTAGTCCTGTAGGTGAATCGATTAATCTAGCTGCTTGATCACTGACTAGTATCAGTTTAAATTTATTTTTTAATGCTTATTAACTAATTTGATAGCATTCCAAACACATATCCTATTCCAATTTGAAAATGGAATTTGCCCAATTTATAAACTCTGTAGTAGTTAAATTTAATTTATCATCTATTTCATTCTTATAATATTTTGAAGTCTAAGAATAGAAATAAACTTTACTTCTGTTAAAAGATGAGATTAAAATTATTCTTTGTAGAATCTTTAAGCATCCTCTTATTTTTTGGAAATATAATAATATTGTCCAGATTCTCTTATATACTTCAATTCAACTTCTTTAGAACCCATGATAGAATATAACTCAATGAGTTGTTTGATTTATTTATTCAATAATATTCCATACTTTCTTGTTTCGTATATAAACTAGAAAATTGTATTCAGGATTAGCTTATTAAATTTATCAAAATATTCCTATTTAAATAAACTTATAGAGATGGCACCAAGAGATGTCCAAGAATATGATGTAAAGTTATTATCCAAATAATAGAAAATTTTGTAAAGCCAATATGAATAAGCTTTATAATCGTGATATGTTTTTGTAACAATAAAGAGTACCTTGAATATAATATTGGTATTTATACACTTTCTTTTTCCTATTTAAATTTATCAACTTAGTAGCAAATATCATTAATGAATTCTTTCAAAAGATTTATATAAATTTCTATTAATTATTGATCCACTATCTTATAATTAGGTTAATAAAGATGGCGATTAATTTACGCAGTTTCGACCTCTTAATGGACTTAATTAGATAATTGATATATATTGCTAAACTGTAAACATGAAATGTACTTATATATTATCATAATTTCCTTGTTATCAATTTTTATTGCAGCTCCTTCTTAAAAAGCTTTTTTTAATTTTTTTGAGGCTTCTTGACATTGCTCTTTGATTTGCATTAACTGTTATTGGTATTTTTTATTGATTGTCTTAATCATGAATATTTTAATAATAGAATTATATGTAAATTTATCAACCTTATATTCAATTAGTTTATGAGCAATTCTAATAAATGTTATAATTTGTAAAACTTCATATTTTCCATCTCCAAAAGTCAGCAGTCTTGTTTGATCAAAAATATAGTTGCAGGAATAATTTAAAAAGCTTTACACTAATATTTGGGAAATATGCCTAAAATGTTGATTTTAATACTAATTTTTTATTATTTCTTTTGAAATAAGTTTTTCTTTAACAATTATTCATATAATTGTAAAACATTAACATTTATTTGATTACTTAAAAATTTCATAATGCTATCAAATAAGTCAAAAATGTTGAATATATAAATTTAAACTGCAGAGCAATTTTGATATTTGATTGAAAGGATTGTCTAAACAATTTTTCAGTAAATTATTATTTATCATTTTAAATTAGTTTGTCAATAATAAGAAATAAATTATTAAATAAATGCCAAACTATACCTATCATTAAAGTTATTGGAAGTCTTTTTTACCATCATTGCATATGTATATAGTGAATTTAATAGTCTTTATATAATTAGAGGGTTTAAATCTTTTATCTGAATATCATTATATACGTAATAAATATTCTTACTGATTATAAAGGACATATATATAATAAACTAAAACTATTCCTCAATAATTTTTATAAAAAATAAATATTGAATTTAAATCAAATTAAAATTATTAATTATGACTAGAAAAGAGTAAACTCATATTTTACATATTCAATAATCTTATAAAACTACTTAGTTTAAACACAAAAAGTATTTTGAAGTGGATTAGCAGAGTAATTAGGTTTTGAAATAGATGAAAGTCAAGTTTTATTTAAATGGGAAAGGAAATAGTTTCTAAAATAATTTTTTCTTAGACAATTATGTTCAAAGTCAAGTTGAATTTCTATTTAGAAGCATAATTTTTTAGTAATTCTTATATAGTTTATTTGATTAATTTATCATAACAATAAAAATAATTCTATAAAATAAATCGCTTTTAAACTTTAGAGTCATGTCTTCAGAAAATCTCTATCCATTTAGTGAAATCATTCGAATTTGCAATCAATTTATTTGAAGAAGGATATATAGTCTAATTTTAAATATAGGAAACGTTAAAAGTTTCTTTTTTTAGAGCTTAAAGCTAAAAGAGTTTAATAATCCTTAAATTTTATCTACATATATTACTTGAATATAGATTAATTATTTTTAATAATTTTGTAACACTGTTACTTTAAATATATTTGGAAAGCTAATAGGTAGAGAAATTTAAAATTGATTAATTTTAGTTGAGTTACAAAATAAATAATCTGTTCATTAATGATATCATAAATACTTTGTTTTATTATAAATATATACAAATACAATAAAGTAATCTTGTCTCACATAATCTATTCTTTTTATTCTTAAATCATATCTTATATTATACTTAAATCAACAGATATGCTTCGGAATCCATGTAATTGAATATTTGAGGATATGAACTTATGTGAATTAATTCTAAATATAAATTTTTTAAATATATCATTCAATTTATGCATAGGTGTTTTAATGAGGTAATGCTTAGTAGAAAGTATGTAAATCATTATTAATTCTAAATTATTGCCTTGAAAAGGTCTACA